CGAGTTACGAACAATATTTTTCATCACAATGTGGCGGAAATTGGACTTTAAAGCACGTGGAGCGTGCCGAAAAGTTCACTTTTCGTCACAGCGTGATGAAAATACTATTTTCGGCCTAATGACGAAATATACTATTATTGTTTGAAACAAGCATTGCCCATTAGAACGCGAGTGGTCGGTGTATGTCTGAAAATCGAGGGTGACCCGCAGCCCTGAAGGAGATCCTCACGGAGAAATGTTGAAAGACGAAAAATTTCTCAAACTCACCGATATCTCGATGAGGTGCATTTAGGTTTCTCGGAGGTCCCGTTGTACCTTCAGAACTGTAACTCGATGCATTTGCACACAAGTACACAATTGTCATAGTTATCACCCAGTGATGCATACAAATACAAATATATTAATTTTGATTTTTACTCCTGAAGGATTGCTCATGAGATTTCGGAAAATTTACGGTTATGCGAATTCCCGATATTATCCGCGATACGGAGTCACGTTTCCAAGTACTCATTTGTTTCGAATATATTCTATTTTTTATTTGAATTTGGAGCTTCATTTGGGGTCTAACTTCTAAATACTCTTAATAGTCTAGAAGAAATAGCGACTTGTGATGGATCATCTCTCTATATTATAAAAATCCAAATCGACTTTTGGTGATAAAAATGTGGTACTTGAAATTAAGACTCCAAAATTAAGAGTCACAAGGGTCAAAATAAGGGTCATGAAGGTCAGAATGAGAGTCACACGGGTTGGATTAAGGGTCGTGATGGATCATCTCTATATTATAAAAATCCAAATCGACTTTTGGTGGTAAAAATGTGGTAATTGAAATTAAGACTCCAAAACTAAGAGTCACAAGGGTCAAAATAAAGGTCATGAAGGTCAGAATGAGGGTCACAAGGGTTGGATTAAGGGTTGCGAGGGTTAGATTAAAGGTCATGAGTCAGAATAAGGGCCATGAGGGTCAGAATAAGGGTCACGAGGGTTGGATTAAGGGTCACGAGGGTCAGAATTAGGGTCACGAGGGTTAGATTAACCCTCGTAACCCTAACCGTCGACTCGTAACCGTCGTGACGGTCATGTGACCGTCAATGACGGGTCATGTGACGCGTTTGCATCTCCATTTCTGTCAGTTCCGTCAGTTCAACGCGTTGAAAACAGCTGCTTTTGTTATCGTTCGAGGCATGGTCTCGCCGAGCGTGTCCAGTACCGAGTATTTCCAGTAAGTTCACTGAGACCAATTAAATAATCCCCAATCCCGAGAAACATCGAACATCCAAAATAAACGACAGTTGAACTTATTCTCCAATATCAATTGGATTTTTTTGCAGAGAAAAAAACAATTGTTTGCTTGGACCTAACCTCACAAGACATTCGTCATGCTGACGAAATTCCTCGGGAACTTAATTATTGTCAATTAACAATTGACATTTTCAACGAGAATTTAATTATCTCCAATTAATTAATGATAATTCATTGAATTCGATGATTTTGTGATCGAATCAACGATCATGATGAGACGTGCGAGAATCAAAGTGACGGCTTCAGTCCCTTTACGACGAAAAGTCATCAAAGTAGAGGAGCCTGAGGTGATTTCCAGGGATCCTGATGGGATCGAAGAGGAATTGACTCCAGAGGTGCCTCGGGATGAGTTGAAACCAGAGATTTTGGTCGAGGAAATAAAAGTGGGAGGGGCTGGGGGGACAATTTCTGGAGGGGCGAAAGCTCCTGTTGAGGATGGGAGCCCTCATCTTCAAGAGAAGGCACCAGAGGTGGAGAGGGATGAGGGTGAGAAGGTCCCCCTTGGAGCTGGGGCAGAGGGACAGAAACCTGGGGAGACTGGGAAGACAGCTTCTGTTGTTGAGGGTTTCCCCAGGAGAGCGAGACTGTTCTCGGAGTCGTCAGACAAGGGTCATCTCTCGGGGAGTGAAGCAGGTGAGATATTTTTTTTCAGCTCAGGAGTGGGAATTTTTTGGGTAATTTCACGGGTAGAGGAATTCGTTTCTTGAGCACGTTTTTTAGGCAGGGAAATTGTCGTTTGAGTCGAATAATTCTCTTCATTTTGGATTTTTCTATTTATTTCTAGGAATCTTTTCGCTGGAAATTAATGAACTCGAGGATTTATTTCGATGGAAATGGTTTAATCACATGAAATACATAAATTAGATGCAAGTATGTGACTGTTAGATTTGAGTGAATAATATTCTTGAGTAAAACGAAGAATTGGTACTCAAAATTAAGACTCCAAAATTAAGGGCGACAAGGGTCAAAAGAAAGGTCACGAGGGTCAAAATAAGGGTCACGAGGATCACAAATGTCAGTTTAAGGGTCCAAATAAGGGCCATGGGGTCAAAAAAGGGTCAAAAGGGTCAAAATAAAGGTCTCTATATATCCCTACATTATAAAAATCCATATCGACTTCTGACGACGAAAATTTTGCACTAAAAATTAATCAAGGGTCACGAGGAGTATAATGAGGGTCAGATTAAGGGTCACAAGGGTCAGAATAAGGACCACGGGGGTCATATGGCGATTGGCGATAAAAAGCTAAATAAAAAATGAATAAAAAAACAGCCAGAAAATAATAGCAATGAAAAATCAGCCAGAATTAGGGGTGGGTGGGGTAAAATGGACACTAAACTTTTTTAAAATTATTCATAACTCAGAAACAAATTTATCAGTTGAGCTCGTCACAAAGGGAAAGAATTGTTCTTTGTATTGGAAAAATCCATTCAATTTTATCAACATTTCAACCCCTCATTAACTTTTCAAAAAAGTCAAAAGTGTCCGTTTTACCCCAACCTCCCCTAATGAATTATTCTTCTTGGATTCCACTTAAAGCAAAATATTAGAGAACTGAACAATCGTCTTAATGTTGCAGCATCTCCAATAAAAGTCCTCCCCAACCGTTCATTCACCCGTCCTACCCCACGTCTCGACGGTTCCACTCGGATCCGCCGTAACAGCATCCAAGGCTCTGGGGCTAGTGCCAGCGAGTCCGAGGACGACTCTCGGCGTCACCCTCCTCCCCCTCACCCGCCACCGTCTTCTCACCCGTCCCAGCCCTCACAGAACTCGTCCCACCCTCCTCCCCCTGCTCAGAACCCCAGTCAAAGCCAAACCCAGAACCCCAAGCAAAAGCGAAAGGTCCTCATCTCGGAATCCGCTAGGAAGCTGGCGGAGTCTCGTCGTGAGTTCTTCCTGAGGCACGAGCACAAGCAGCCGGACAGAACAAAGCTGACGATGTACGATTTGATTTACTACAACCCCGCGACGAACCCCATGAAGAAGACGGCGACTTCTCTAGTTCAAGATGAACCAGAAGAGGTGAATAAATTAATCAAAATCTCTCTACACTGGGGACAAAAATTGTCAATGACAAAGATTTTTTTTGTTGAGAGAAGCATTTATTTTTTTCAAAATCGTTTGTCTCCTGTTGAGTCGATCCCAGGCGAGTCTGATTCGGTTTCAATAGCCAAGTGGTAAAATGGTTTAAGTCGACTCATCTCAGCACATTTGTTTTTCGTAATCACATTTAAATTGCAATTTTTGGTGAAAACGAAATTCTCCCATAAATGTATTATACTTATGCAGTAAAAAAGTACTTCTCCATTTTTTCGATACAACGAATATTTACCGAATTATGATGTTAGGGTGAATCTCCAGTGTTCGAACGAATAAGCACAGTTATTTTTGACGTAGATTTAAAAATATAACCAAGTCGAAAATTGATTTAAAAATAATTATAACTCCCCTGTACATCTCCATAGATAATAGAAAAAAATATTATGAATATTAATTGACGATACAATTAATGATATGAATACAAAAAGCTGAAAATGTGTGAAAACCCAGTAATCGAATTGCGTATTCTGTAATGGGAATACGCTATTGGCGGCGTAACTTCGACATTTTCAATCATCACAATATCATCTGGAAATGTCATAATTTTATTTTTCATGTATAATGCGAGGCATCTCTACCTTCTACTAATTTATTTGATAGATAAAGTACCAATTAGTTTGACTACTGGTCTGGTTCGAACACTGGTTGGTTCACCCTATAATCAATTACCTAGCCAGTAAACCTCCAATTTTTTTTTGTATAACTTCGCAAAAAAAATTTTTGCTTTTTTCTTACGTTTGGGAGATTGTATAGGTACTTCTATAACACACTCAATTTATATCAAAATCTATTTAAAAAAATTTCGAATTAAAATAGCGTGGAATGCCTCATATGCTTACTCTCATATATCACCTCTCATAGGGGAGGTAGGGGCAAAGCGGACCCCCGGGGCAAAGCGGACCCCTTCGAGAAAAAAAAAGTGTGGGGTAAAGTGGACCCTCACATAAATTATTGAATCGAGTCGCCAGAATTATTCTAATACGTTTTATAAAGTGAAATTTACTACCTTGACTAAAAAAATATGCAATGAGGGCAAGTATAAATTTGTGTGAGCTCCTGCGGATCTAATTGTGAACAAGAAATGTGAGTTTTTGATCAACAGCGATTACATTCTATCCAATCGGTAGAACAACATGACAATGACTCCTGACAAACGGAAAATTAAAATAATTTTAAAAAAACAGAGGGTCCACTTTGCCCCAACATTAATTTTTTTTTAAATTTAATGACAGATCTTAATTGCAATTCTAATGAGATTATGATCTCCACGTGAAGTGCATTGACTCATTAGAACTTAAAAAACTAAACGATTCGCTTAGAGGGTCCGCTTTGCCCCTACCTCCCCTATATCACCCAGCTGATTACGTGTGATTTGATGAACTATTCTCTTATGCTTATCTCTTCTGCTTTTCTCTGACTCACTTCATTGCCTGTGTGCTAATGCTACTGTTTTTCCATGCTATTTCTGTGTTTTTATGTCAATGTATCCTCTCTTATTTATAATCTCTCATCTGTACAATTTGTTTAAATTTCTAAACAATAAACTCCTTATCTTATCTTACCTACTCCCAGAGTTTCTGTTTCTGTTATACTTTTGTATCTGCTTTATATTTGCTCTGTGGCATTGCTACTAGTTTTGCCCAACATAATGTGCAGCAATAAAAATCAATCAATCAATCAATCAATCAATCAATCAATCAAGGTGACAGAACCCGAAGAAGAGGAGGACGACTCTGCAATGCCAGTCCCCCAGCTGAAGGTGGGTCCCAACGGTGAGCTCGTGGTGGACGAGCAGTCCCTGGTAATCGAAAACACAGCCCTGAAGAGAGACCGCGAGGCAGTCTCCAAGCGTCGAGTCCTAGTCGACGAGGAGGGTGCGATCGGTGGTTTCTACAAGAAGCGAGTGAAGAGCAGAGATTGGACGCACGTCGAGACCCTCAAGTTCTACAAGGCCCTGAACACAGTGGGAACCGACTTCTCCCTCATGCAGACTGTCTTCCCGAGCCGAACTCGCCACGAGTTGAAGATGAAATACAAGAAGGAGGAGAAGTTGAACAGAGCCCTTGTGGAGAAGGCGCTGGTCTACCACCAGGAGTACGACATCGAGACGCTGAGGAAGGAGCTCGAGAGCTTCGAGAATGTCGAGGAGAAGAGCAAGAAGACGAGAAAGTCGACTGACAGCTATAGAAAGAGAATTGCGAAGAAGAGGAATGTCGCCACTAGTGTGAACATGCTGAGTGAGGACGAGGATGACCCTGGGGACGTTGGGGACGAGCCTGAGGAGACGTCGAAGGACCAGGAAACTGAGGATCGTGAGGGGGAGGGTGTGTCCAGGGTGAAGCGAAAGAGGCCCAGGGGGAAGAAGACGGTTGAGCCTGATCCCTCGGAGGATTCACTCAGTGAAGATGACTTTGAGGTTTACAAGGTGAAGCCCACGAGGTCTGGACGACTTCCCAAGAGGAAGAGGCCGGTGTTCAATGCCACGAATGTTCTCGACGATATCTTCGATGAGGGGGGGGAGCAAGCTGGCGAGGATGAGGGGGAGGAGGAGGCCAGGGGGGTGGAGCTGGGGGAACCTGTGGAGGGGTTGCAGGACGTGGAGCCGGGCTCGCTGGTGATTGTCTCCAAGGAGTCACCCGATGAACCTGGGAAGACCATTGTCCAGGTGTACATGGTGGGGAAGGACCTGAATGGGGGAGAGGAGAAAATGACACCTGTGGACCTCAGCTCGGAATTACTCTCCACTGTTACCAGTGGACTCAACAGTCATGGCGTGTCGCCGATTAAATTTACGTTGAAGTAGGGGGACGGGGAAGTGGTGGGGTTTCTGGGGGAAGAGTCGTTAATTAATTGGTGATAAAACTTAAAAATTGAGTTTTTTTTTATTTTCTGGGAAAACGAACACCTGAAATTTATGGTTGGAACCATGTACTCTTATCCTGATTCAATAAGTCAGTAGCGAGGTGGTAAACTGGTATAAGTCAATTTTTACTATTGGCCAGTTTTCATTAAATATCCGGGAATCTAAGGGAGATGGCAAAATTTTTATTGTAACCTTTTTTGTAGAGCAGAGTGAGAGCTACAACAAATGTAATTACAAAAATTTCGCTGTCTCCCGTAGATTTGGAAATATTCCTCAAAAACTCAAGTGGGAGATGAGTTGACTTAAACCGCTTTACCACTTCGCTACTGAATTTAATAAGTGAAGAGAAATCTACTGGCAAACGATCTGCAGGCCTTTTTGGTTATTAATTCATGTAAATTCGGTATGAAATGCTCACCATTTTGACATTCCTCTGGTAGAACGATCCCTTGCTTTTTTACGTTTAATAATTGTAATTGTATTTTTGTAAACGTTGAGACGATAATTATCTTAGGGTTAAGGAAGAGGCAGTTTTTGTAAGAAATGAAAAATGATGTATCACCAATTTTATTGACGAACATAAATACTTTCTGTTGTTTTCATTCTTGTCTCTTGATTTGAGGGTTTCAACATGAAAATTTTAGAGCGGGGAGTAGTATTGGAAGTTGTTTCGATCGTCTATCTTGTGACCTGAAAAAAGAAAATATCAGTTTTAAGAAATATTTTTAATTCGGTTTTTTAGATGAAATTTTCGACGTTAAATTCCAACAAATGATAATTATTTATTGTACAACCGATTGATTACTGGTCTGGTATATCGTGATGCTCTTGATGAGTAATAATTAACTAGGATTTTTCATTCATCAGATCAAAACTCAAGAGTTTAGGAGTCAAGTGGTGGAAACGTCGAAATTAATTTTACATTCAAATCAGTCTTTCCCAAATATCCCATAATTTACGAGAGATAGAGCCATTTTCATCGGAACTTTTTTTGTAGAGAATTTCACGAGCTACGAAAAAGGTCATTATACAAATTTCGCTATCTCCCCTCAATTCTGTGATATCAGGCAAAAACAAAATTTTTGTTTTTTCGTTTGAATCTTTTTCATTTTCTAAAATACTTATTTCTAGATTTTATTAAGAAACTTTTTTAGCTCGCGAAATTCTGCACAAAAAGTGTCCCCAAGGCTCTCTATCTACCTTCAATATCCAAAATAAAAGTTCAATAAATCCCAAACCAAAAAAACTAGGAGAGAAGGGAGAAAACACCCCACCTGTGACCTCGAGTATCCCGAGAACGGCTGAGTGAATTCTCCCAACTCTCCATTCATTATCAATCCCTTTATCAACCTTCAAAATGAGCCCTGACTCATCCAAATCGCCTCGTCCATTTCCCAAATATTCCCAACGCAGAAAGAAAAACTGAAATTCACCCGGTTCCATGAACCTCTCCGTGATCCTCGCCCCGTAGACATACCACGCGCAGAATATCATGAACACAATGGTCACCAGAACCGACACAAAGACCTTCAGCAGCTGCCACTGGAAGTAGTCGAACGCCAAAAGCTCCGGAAACTGTCTGAAAAAATCGTTGACATCCAGCAGCAATTCACCACTCGGTTTTATCACACTCGTGAGGTCTGGCACTCCAATTGTTTCAACGACAAAATTCACTGTTGCTGATGAGTATCTCTGGAGTACTTCACCCACTTCTGTCACCCAGACATTCGTATTTTGAAAAATATTCTCCATTTCTCTTACTTCATAAATTTTTTTTATTCCATTAATTTTTTTTCATTAATTTGTTTTAGTCCATTCTTTTTTCATTCCATTAATTTAATTTTCATTCAATTTTATCTCGTTTCTTTACTTTATTTTCACTCATTTCCTTGTTTTCATAACGCGCAGGGGCAACAGCTGATTCATGTCTCATGTTGTTGGGGGAGGGGGGGAGATTTCATTGCGTCATTTCACAAAAATGAAATTCCAAGAATTTCTGGGGTTTGAACGTTAGTTTACTATTTTCGTTGAGGCTAGAACGGAATATCTTGAAATAAGTCATGAAATAAGTTGAGGGGAAAGACTTTATTTTTGCGGAAAACAGAAGTTTAGGGGTTTAAAGGTGTTTTTTTTAATTTAAACGGTGATGACGATAACTAGGTTATGTTTACGAGAGTGAGATGTACGTGATGGAGAGTTGACGGGAGTTTGGGGGATTGAAAGTGATTTTGGGGCTGAGGGTGATTACCGGGGGATGAAGATGAAGTGTAATGAGAAGGAATTGATGGATGCGAGCCGAGGGCTGTCGCAGATGGAGGGCAGGTTGCAGCACAAAAGGGCGCATAAATCGGGTGAGATTGGGCTTCTCTCGATTTACGCATGAAATAAGTTGATAATTGAAAGAGCTAGCGCTTTCTCTAAGACATTATTCTATCGGATTTCTGTTGGAGCTCTGTGAGAATTCTCTTGGAGTTTTATCAGAGTTTCATATTAAAAATTGTGTTTTAATATTTTTTGACCCGTCATTCCAAAGGTTTTTGAGGGTCGTTTGACCCCCAAAATTTGACCCTCAACTTTAAATGGCTGCAGGGTGGGTTGAACTTCAGCTCAGAGCGTTCTTAGGGTCGTTTGACCCTCAAAATCATTTGACCCCCGACATCAATTTTTCTTAAAGATCGTGTGACCCTCAATTCAAAACTTTCTTAGAATCGTTTGACTCTCGAAACTATTTGACCCTCAAAATCATTTGACCTTCGATTTCAACCATTCTTAAGGGTCCTTTGACCCCCAAAATTATTTGACCGTCAACTTCAAATGTCCTTAACGGTCGTTTGACCCTCAACTCGAAACATTCTTGGAGTCGTTTGACCCTCGGAACCATTGACCCTCAACTCCAAACGCCCTGAGGATCATTTGACCCTGAAAAGTACCTGAGCCTCTATTTCAAACGTTCTTAAAGGCCGTTTGACCTTCAAAATCATTTGACCCTCAACTCAAAGCGTTTTTAAAGGTCATTTGACCCTCGGAACCATTTGACCCTCAACTCCAAACGCCCTGAGGATCAGTTGACCCTGAAAACTACTTGACCCTCTATTTCAAACGTTCTTAAAGGCCGTTTGACCTTCAAATTCATTTGACCCTCAACTCAAAGCGTTTTTAAGGATCGTTTGACCCTCGGAACCATTTGACCCTGAACTCCAAACGCCCTGAGGATCATTTGACCCTGAAAACTACTTGACCCTCTATTTCAAACGTTCTTAAAGGCCGTTTGACCTTCAAAATCATTTGACCCTCAACTCAAAGCGTTTTTAAAGGTCATTTGACCCTCGGAACCATTTGACCCTCAACTCCAAACGCCCTGAGGATCATTTGACCCTGAAAACTACCTGACCCTCTATTTCAAACGTTCTTAAAGGCCGTTTGACCTTCAAAATCATTTGACCCTCAACTCAAAGCGTTTTTAAGGATCGTTTGACCCTCGGAACCATTTGATCCTGAACTCCAAACGCCCTGAGGATCATTTGACCCTGAAAACTACCTGACCCTCTATTTCAAACGTTCTTAAAGGCCGTTTGACCTTCAAAATCATTTGACCCTCAACTCAAAGCGTTTTTAAAGGTCATTTGACCCTCGGAACCATTTGACCCTCAACTCCAAACGCCCTGAGGATCATTTGACCCTGAAAACTACTTGACCCTCTATTTCAAACGTTCTTAAAGGCCGTTTGACCTTCAAAATCATTTGACCCTCAACTCAAAGCGTTTTTAAAGGTCATTTGACCCTCGGAACCATTTGACCCTCAACTCCAAACGCCCTGAGGATCATTTGACCCTGAAAACTACTTGACCCTCTATTTCAAACGTTCTTAAAGGCCGTTTGACCTTCAAAATCATTTGACCCTCAACTCAAAGCGTTTTTAAAGGTCATTTGACCCTCGGAACCATTTGACCCTCAACTCCAAACGCCCTGAGGATCATTTGACCCTGAAAACTACTTGACCCTCTATTTCAAACGTTCTTAAAGGCCGTTTGACCTTCAAAATCATTTGACCCTCAACTCAAAGCGTTTTTAAAGGTCATTTGACCCTCGGAACCATTTGACCCTCAACTCCAAACGCCCTGAGGATCATTTGACCCTGAAAACTACTTGACCCTCTATTTCAAACGTTCTTAAAGGCCGTTTGACCTTCAAAATCATTTGACCCTCAACTCAAAGCGTTTTTAAGGGTCGTTTGACCCTCGGAACCTTCTGGCCCTCAACTCCAAACGCCCTAAGGATCATTCTGAAGTCGGAACTGCACTAGTAACTCCCCGTTTTTTCTCACTTTCCTTCTCCCCCTTCCCCCTAATAATTCTCAAATTATCTTCCCCAGTCTTCAAAGAGCGTTGGTTCAAGCTCCGCAGCAACCTTCTCTTCTACTTCAATATAACCGACCTGGGTCAGATAGACGACAAGCAGCCAGCAGGAATAATAATCCTCGAGAACTGCAAGATAAATTCAGACGTGATATCTGAGGGTGCCTTCGCCTTCAGCATTGTGTTTCGTGATGAACACGACAAAAGGCACATTTTCACAGCGAGAACAGAGGACCAGGTGAACCAGTGGGTAACAGCCCTGCGCCAGGCCAGCTACGAGTACTGGAGATCACGACTGATAACCCTTCAGGAGAGATTGTCCAGCAGAACTGGCACTGATCCCCTCCTCATGTATCCTAGGAATCATGGGATTGTGAGGGACGAAGCATGGAGTCAAACCTCCAATTTCCGGTCTCACATTCGCGCATTCACCAGCACAGCCCCCACCATCCCCAGCATTGTGACAAAGGAAACTAAAAATCTCATAGAATTATTGTAGTAACCATCAAGTATTTTTCAACGTAAATATATTTATTTTTCTTGGAAATGCTGCATTATTTGACCCTCAAAACCATTTAAACTTAAATTCCAAACGTTCTTAAGGGTCTTTTGACCCTCAAAACCATTTAAACTTCAATTCCAAAGGTTCTTAAGGGTCGTTTGACCCTCAAAACTATTTAAACTTCAATTCCAAACGTTCTTAAGGGTCTTTTGACCCTCAAAACCATTTAAACTTCAATTCCAAACGTTCTTAAGGGTCTTTTGCCCCTCAAAACCATTTAGACTTCAATTCCAAAGGTTCTTAAGGGTCGTTTGACCCTCAAAACCATTTAAACTTAAATTCCAAACGTTCTTAAGGGTCTTTTGACCCTCTAAACCATTTAAACTTCAATTCCAACCGTTCTTAAGGGTATTTTGACCCTCAAAACCATTTAAACTTCAATTCCAAAGGTTCTTAAGGGTCGTTTGACCCTCAAAACCATTTAAACTTCAATTCCAAACGTTCTTAAGGGTCGTTTGACCCTCAAAACCATTTAAACTTCAATTCCAAACGTTCTTAAGGGTCGTTTGACCCTCAAAACCATTTAAACTTAAATTCCAAACGTTCTTAAGGGTCTTGTGACCCTCGAAACCATTTAAACTTCAATTCCAACCGTTCTTAAGGGTCTTTTGATCCTCAAAACCATTTAAACTTCAATTCCAAAGGTTCTTAAGGGTCTTTTGACCCTCAAAACCATTTAAACTTAAATTACAAAGGTTCTTAAGGGTCGTTTGACCCTCAAAACCATTTAAACTTCAATTCCAAAGGTTCTTAAGGGTCTTTTGACCCTCAAAACCATTTAAACTTAAATTACAAAGGTTCTTAAGGGTCGTTTGACCCTCAAAACCATTTAAACTTCAATTCCAAAGGTTCTTAAGGGTCTTTTGACCCTCAAAACCATTTAAACTTCAATTTTAAACGTTCTTAAGGGTCTTTTGACCTTCAAAACCAGTTAAAGTTCAATTCCAAATTTTCTTAAGGGTCGTGTGTTCCCCATAACCATTTAAACTTCAATTCTGAACGTTTTTAAGGGTCTTTTGACCCTCAAAACCATTTAAACTTCAATTCTGAACGTTTTTAAGGGTCGTTTGACCCTCAAAACCATTTAAACTTCAATTCCAAACATTCTCAAGGGCCATTTTACCTTGAAAATCACTTGAACCTCAACTCCAAAAGTTCTAGATAGAATTGTTACAATAATAATGAAGTATTTTTCAACCTAAATATATTTATTTTTCTTGGCAATGCTGCATCACTTTTTCTACTGTGAATTCATTGTTTTTCAAGAATTGTGCGGATTTACATGATTCATAACTAATTTACATACATTTCGCATTTTTTTTCGGTTATTTTTGAAAGATTTCTTTAGCTCGTAGGGAAATGGTAAAGGGGAAGGGACTGGGGGACATTTTTGTAGGCAATTTAATAGTGACAAAAATGTAAATAAAAAAATGGGAAGTTCCTTCATAAATATCGTGATTTTTCAAATCTTCAGGTCTGAATTTTTCATTCAATCTTCATTGTTTATTTTGTAATTATTTTGGAATCTACTCAGTTTAGGAGAAAATATCAAGAGATTTGTTTTAAAGAACTCAATTCTCTATAAAAAAAAAACCTCTTGATGTTTTTTTTTTCAATTTATCATTTTTTGTCATATATATTGACAAAAAATTCTTAAAATGCATTCTGGTTTTTTACTATTCCCATCTTCGCAGGTTGTTTCGTAAATATTTAGACACCTCATAGGTTCAGGCGAAAATGTTTTTTATAATTTTTTAATCTGAAACTCGCCCTGGGAATGCATTGAATTTAGTCATTCATCTTTACCATTGCACTACAGGTTTTACCTAATGACAAAGCAAAGAACAATTCACTGGTTTTTTCCTAAAGACAATTCCCTACTACCCCAATTCCAATGATTTCCCCTACCTAATAAAATCGTAGAATGTAAATTCATCAAAACAAAATACTTTAACTTACAAAAATTATCAGTGATCGTATCCTGAATCAAAATAAACTCAATTAAATTCATGGATCACTGGATAGCTGTACCCTAAACGAGGTAAAATTGATAGAAAAAGAATAATAATACTTATAATTAATTAATTCGTTAAATAATTACAAATAATTACAAATCACTCGGGAGGGAAGTGGTGGAACGTGATGTACTTGTAGATCACTAGTGCATTTTTCAAAAAATGTCTGGGCATTTTTTAAACATTCGTAGATGCTATTCACTCATTGTCGACTTGAAATGAATGAAATATGAGGAAAAACGACTAGAGCATTTCAGGAAACGTTCTTTGGTTTTAGTTGGGGATTAAATGATCCTTTCCGATCGTTCTGGTCTGACCCGTTTGACCCTCAAGATGGTTTGACCTTCGAGTCCAAACGTCCTTAAAAGGCTTTTGACCCTCAAAATCACTTCAGCCTCAACTTCAAACGTGTTTAAAGATCGTTTGACCCTCAAGACAATTAAATCCTGAAATTCAAATGTCCTTATGGGTCGTTTGACCCTCAACTTCAAAAGTACTAAACCCGCAAGACCATTTGACCCCCTCAACCGACCTTCAACTCAAAAAACTACACAGAACAGTCGTTTTTCCTGGCATTTCAAACCTCAAGAGACTTTTCAGACTTCGTGACCATTTCAAGCACTTCCTCCAGACCCTCCCTCACCCCTCAAATCTCATCCCGCTGCCTCTGGGCCCCCTCCCCCCCATAGAACCCCTTCAAATTCGGCTTGAGCACCGAGAACATCTTGTCCGTCGCCATTGGATGCATGCTCTTCTGCAATTCCGTGAGTGACTCCTCAGTCTGCTTGAGTAGTTGCGCAGCAGTCTGTAGAATTCTCTGCCACCTCCTCATCTCCACATTATGCAGGCTCTCCTGCTGCTGGAGAAGATGCACCCAGTCCTCCTCGGTCTTGGGGGTGTTTCTCAACACATGAAGATCCATCACAGTATAAGCAGCTGCATCCTCAAGCCCCCACAATTTGTAATAAAGCAGTCCATTGATGATCATCAGACACAGAACAGCAATCAACAGGATCCAGTTAATGATGGAGATGGGCTCCTCTCGTGGCTTGATGATCCCAGAATTCAGGGGTAATTCCGTAACTGCAGATGCCAGATTGAGGGGCAGAAGGTCTGGTGGATGTGCCTGAAGGGCATTGTTAGCAGCCGCAGCTCGTCGTCTCCTTTTGGTTTTCCTCTTTATTCCACTCCCAGCTGAAGTCTCCTCGCACTCGACGCTCAACGCCTTCACCAGACTGCTGAAATACTCCTCCAACCTGTGGGAATTTCAATCGAAATTCAATTGCACGATGTTTAAACTGAAGGAGATTTTTCGAGAATGAAGTGTGTCCGAAATTTATGATTAAGTATTCGGGATTGTTTGACCCTCAAGACCCTTTGACCTTCAGGTCTGAAGGTTTTTAAGGGTCGTTTGACCCTCAGAATTACGTGACCTACAACTTGAAAACTTTTTGAGGGTAGTTTGGCCTTGAAAATGACTTGACCCTCAACTCCAAACGTTCTTAAGGATTAGTTGACCATCAAGGACATGCGAACTTCAGGTCTAAAGGGCTTTAAGGGTTATTTGACCCTCATAATTACGTGACCTACAACGTTAAACGTTTTCGAGGGTAGTTTGGCCTTGACAATGACTTAACCCTCAACTCCAAACGTTCTTAAGGATGAGTTGACCCTCAAGAACATGCGAACTACAGGTCTAAAGGGCTTTAAGGGTCATTTGACCCTCATAATTACGTGACCCACAATTTTAAACGTTTCTGAGGATAGTTTAACCTTGAAAATGACTTCACCAGACTGCTGAAATACTCCTCCAACCTGTGGGAATTTCAATCGAAATTCAATTGCACGATGTTTAAACTGAAGGAGATTTTTCGAGAATGAAGTGTGTCCGAAATTTATGATTGAGTATTCGGGATCGTTTGACCCTCAAGACCCTTTGACCTTCAGGTCTGAAGGTTTTTAAGGGTCGTTTGACCCTCAGAATTACGTGACCTTCAACTTGAAAACTTTTTGAGGGTAGTTTGGCCTTAACAATGACTTGACCCTCAACTCCAGACGTTCTTAAGGATTAGTTGACCCTCAAGAACATGCGAACTTCAGGTCTAAAGGGCTTTAAGGGTCATTTGACCCTCATAATTACGTGACCTACAACGTTAAACGTTTTCGAGGGTAGTTTGGCCTTGACAATGACTTAACCCTCAACTCCAAACGTTCTTAAGGATTAGTTGACCCTCAAGAACATGCGAACTACAGGTCTAAAGGGCTTTAAGGGTCATTTGACCCTCATAATTATGTGACCCACAATTTTCAACGTTTCTGAGGGTAGTTTGACCTTGAAAATGACTTGACCCTCAACTCCAAACGTTTTTAAGGATTAGTTAACCCTCAAGAAAGTGACCTTCATTTGACGATCTACAAGACTTTAAGGGTCATTTGACCGTCAGAATTACTTGACCCACAATTTTAAAAGTTTTTGAGGGTAGTTTGGCCTTGAAAATTACTTAATCCTGAAGTCCATTCATTAATGGACTTCAGGATTAAGTAATGTTCTTGAGGGTCATTTCACCCTTAAAATCACTTGACCTTCAATTCCAATCGTCCTCAAAGGTTGTTTCACCCCTAAAACTTTAACCTTCAACTTCAAATGCCATTAAGGATCATTTGACCCTCAACGCCATAAAGTTTAAACTGTATTTGACCCTGAAAATCACTTGACCCTTCAAACATTCCCCTCAGAGTTTAAACTGTATTTTGACCCTGAAAATCAATGACCCTTGGGAACTCCAAACATTCCCAAGGGTCATTGACCCTCAACGAAAAAAATGTTGTTTTTCCTGATATTTCCAACTTCAAGGGACCTTTTTACCCCCAAAAACTCCCTTTGAACTGTCCCCCGAAAATCCAAATTTATAAAAATACACAAATGCAGTGAAAAAGAGCCTGAAAAAAATTCATTTCAAACCCTGCCCAGCAGTTCTTCTCGATGAGTCCCCTCATCACCGCCCACACGTGCTTCTTGAATTTAATCTGTGAAAATATCTGGAGGCTCGTTTCGCATTCGGACACGTATGCAATGCAGAAGTGAGTGAAGACACTGAAGGAGTCTGCATAGGGTATCCCTGCGTTGTTCGTCTCCACGTCGATGCAGTAACGGTGACCTGGACGACTGCAGGGCAGCATAATCTGGGTCTCGGTGACCTGTGACTTCCTGGGGCCAACTGGCTGGGTCAGAGAGACTGTCAGGGAGACTGTTCGCATTTTCTTGTTGGTCTCGGAGTGTTGGGTCCACTCGGACTGAATGAGATCGGTGGTTTTTCGGGCGGTGTGGAAGTCCAGGAAGAACTTGGAGGTCGTGAAGAGGAGGGTGAATAGCTGGTCAATGTGGATAGGGAGGGTTGTGTTTATTATTGTTCGGCCATCGTGGGTCGAGGTGCAGGCGGAGGTGGGACAGAGACCTAGGCGGAGATTTTGCTTTTCTACGTCACTCTCGGTCGTGTCACTCTGATCTGTTGCTTCATGGTTCAGATCGGTGGGGGGAAAGGATGGGGAAGTTCCGGGGAGGGAGGGGGAGGTCGGCTGATCGGGGCTGGGGGGGTCAGGCTGGAAATAAAGAGGAGTGGTTAGATTCAGGCGCATTGTGTTGGAATTCATGCCTGAATACAAAAATTAATTTCTTAGTTTAGTTAAACATTTTCTCTTTTCCACCCAAACACTCAGGGTGACATTTATGGCTTTTCTTAGAAAATAGAGACGTGAAGAAAAACAGTCCTCATGGTGAGTCACAAAGGAGAGGCTGAAGAAAATTGAAACAAGGGCCTTTTGTCAAATGGGTCCAGAGAGTGAAAACTCTCATGACTTTTAGTTAGTCGTCCTAGAGACTTCGTTGGAGAAAGATATACCTTCTGCGTGCGATCATTAAAGAGTTTTACTTTGAAGAATAAAACTAATGTGTTTTTATTGAGTATTCCTACACATAATCCAATACATTGTTTTGGCGTTGTTTTAAATTGAGGTTCGCAAGGGCCTTGAGGGTCAAATGGCCCTTAATGCCATTTGGGTCACAAGGGGAAAGGACCCCTGGGGACGGATGGAGTTGAGGATCGAATTACAGTTTGATTGCTCTACTTCGTTCGACCCTTAATAGCATTCGTTCCCCAACTTCAGACGTTCTTAAGGGTCGTTTGACCTGCAAGATTACTTGACCCTTTTCCCCAAAGGCTTTCAGGGGTCATTTGGCCCTGAAAGTCAATTGACCCTTGACTTTTTGAAAATTAATTAAAAACCTACTCCAAGGGTGCTTGAGGGTCACTTGACCCTCAACTTTAAACATGTTTGGGGGTCGTTTGACCTGGAAAATCACATGACTCTCAACTCCAAAATTAAGTCAATTGACCCTTAACTTCAAGCGTTTTGAGGGTCATTTTACCCTCAAAATCACTTGACCTCAATTCGAAATGTCCTTAAAGGTCGTTTGACCTTTAAGACCATTTAACCTTTCAACTCCAAACGTCCTTAAGGGTCGTTTGACCCTCAAAATTAGTGGTTACAAGCGAGTTTTTTTCTAATGTAAATTTGGCCATGAATTTCGGTGAAATAAATTTACATTCAGACATAAATTCAGGTTCAGAAAAATTTAACATCAAAAATTATTGGCCACAATCAATAGAAAGCGATACTGATGAATTTTCTCTATCTAATCAAATTGATTAGATTAAATAACGTAGGGGGTAAGATATAATTCACTTTCTACTGTAGGAACAAATATTTGGAAGTTTATGAAATACTGAAAATTGAATTACCTCCGAGAATGACTCCATTGATAATCTAGACGGAATTTTCTCCTCTTCCTGCGCTGAAGGGGATATATAATCCTCATCGTCCGATGTCAAGCCCAATTCCTCTCCGTAGCAAGTATGGACTAGCTGCCACATCTCAGTATTGCTCATGGGCTAAAATTGAAACAATAATTAACGACCCTGATTGCGAAACCCAATTAGCATTGAACATTTAAATGTCAGAGTGATAAAACGCTTGAAGATCAGATAATCACTTCCGCAATTTCCGTTTTATCTCCAGACGAATTCGTTTTACGAGAAAATGTCTCAAGCGTTTTTTGTGGAGAATCAAATTTCCTACAAAAAAGATCTATATTATCCCCTGGGCTATTCTACACGGCCAACTTAGATGTTTTTAAGGCATAAATTACTTGGAAAGCGGGATGCTACACTGAGAAAACAATTTATTCCTTCCAAGAAAATGTTATTGGTGATATCTTTTTCATACTCTTAGTAGAAGAAAATATCTCTTGGAACGTATTTCTCCAGGCCAGTCATTTCCAGGTGCTCCGAAATCAGTTCCAAGCGTGAGAATTATGGTGATCTATAAGAATATTCTTCTACATATGACCTCGAAGAAACTCCAATAATAATTATTAACATTTGGAATTATTCCAATTTTCTTTACCTGAGAAAATCGCCAATTTGTAAAATCCGGAAGATATCGGAGAACATTTTGTCAAGGTCATATGTAGCATAATAATCAGATTGTTCAATATCACTGTAATTTTTGAGGATAGACTTGGACTCTCTGAAAATGACTGCCCTGGAAAAATTCGTTCTGAAAAAATATTATCTTCTGACGAGAATATCAATCCTTGGCAGGAATAATTTTTTCTCTCAGTGTATACGCTATCCATCGGCGTTCCGGACCTCTATATGAGGGAAATAATTGAATAGTTATCAATGCAAAAAAGATCCTGCAAAAAAGATCTTTTGACATTTTCCCCGCGGATCAGTCTTTACGAAAAAATTTCCTGGTTAAAGAGCCGTGAAAAAATAAAAAAAACGTCACAGAAGGGGTCTCGTCAAACGGAACATTTCTCTGTTAATTCATCATAATCTAGTGATTAAAATTGGTGAATGGTTACCTGACCAATTAAAGCGTTCTGCCAAATTTTGAATAGCATCATGTAACTCTTATCCCTGGCGCCAAACGTAGTCAAGAAAAATTTATCAGTTTCTGTACATATTGATATTGCATTTGGTATAACGAGAGCTGTCTTTTCTTTGGTAATTGAGGCAACGTCTTTCCACCTCAGGGAGACGATAGTCTCCCATGTGAATATATTAGCGTAGAAGCATACGTAGTTTTGAGAGACATATAAGCGGCCGTGAACCAGTATTTCTCTTTGTAAGGCACAGGAATAATCTGAAAATTAAAAATTTTGGAACCATTTTATTGTATTATTCTGTTGCGCAGAATTTTTCTACTCAATAATATCACAAAATAATATAATAATGTCATAAAATACAGAATAAGAAAAAAGGAATTTTCTTCTTTCAATTTTTTTTAATTTTAATTTTTTTTATAGGGGAGGCTGGGGTAAAATGGACACTTTTGACTTTTTTAAAAATGTTAATGAGGGGTTGAAATGTTGATGAAATTTTGTAATTTTTTTTTTCAATACAAACAACAATTCATTTTCTTTGTGATGAGCTTAAACTGATCTCAATTAATAAATTTGTTTCTGAGTTATGAATAATGTTAAAAAAGTCAAAAGTGTCCATTTTACCCCACCCTCCCCTATGACAAAAATTAAATTCTACACAAGAAATAAGCTTGAGATATTCATTGAAAACTGGCCAACAGTGGAAATCGAGTTGAACGGTTTTACCGCTTCGCTGCTGAATTCTCTCGTTAATTCCGTCATTTTCATTTTTTAAATTTCTGGCTTATGACTTTACTGACCTACTACGAGTCGTTCATCGTCTGGAACGTCTTTGAAGATCCTTTTGAAGTCCTCAGATCGAGATTTGTACGTTGGATAGAGGACGTTGTACCAGGATGACTTTTTCTTCGAACGCTCGCTCTTGCGGACGTCGTTGGAGGGGCGAATGTGCTCGGTGGAGTCCGACGAACCCTTTGCAGTCTCCTTGATAAGTTTCAATAATTTTCTCAGAAAGATTATTCCAGGGAAGGAATGTAAAATCTCATTTTAACGGGAAATGAGACAAAACATTCATTCAATTTTTAGTTTTCTGTGGATATCTCGGGGTTGAAGGGAAATAGCAAAAATCGAGTGGAAACTTTTTTGTGGAAAATTATCTCAGCTTCAAAAAATGTCTCATAAAACATTTTGATATCTCTTCACGATTCCGAGATATTTTTCAAAAACTGGCATTCAAAGTTCAACTTCGAAAAAAAATTCTTCATCAATCTTAATTCCTTAATTATCTCGTTAATGAGTGATGTTGGGAGAAAATTTTATAAGACAAGTTCTGTTGGAAATTTGATTCTCTACAAAAAATGTCCTGAGACATATTCTCCTAAAGGCTCCTGTTACCGAGATAATCCCCCCCAAAGGGCAACGAAAAGAGGGCAAATGTCTCACCGTGGACTGGTCGTCAGTCTTCGTCGAGCTATCGGTGGGTTCATTGCTCCCAGACTTTCCACTGTTCGAGCCTTGACTCTTCCACGGGAATTTCTTGCTCTTCGTGTTTTTGGGACTGGGCTGTGGCGATGCACTGGGACTTGGCACGTGATTTCTCTCGTGATCACTGCTGCCTCTCCCGAGATTGTCATGACGACTGTCGTCCTCATTTCCGTGATCGCTCTGGGATTTTGATGATGAAACACTGCCCATGGAGGATGAGTTGATCGAGCTCAATACCTCGTGGCTCGAGACCAACAGATTCTCGACAGATTTGTTCCTACCCCAGTGGAAATTTCATTTTTCATGACAGAAGACATTTTTTATCAGAAATTTTCTCCTTCGTAAAAAATCTTTTTTGCCATTTTTCCCCAGAATCACTCACTCCTGAGATAATTGCCAAATTGCCAGAAGTCAGATCCATTTCATTCGAGCATTTTCGAAAGAGTCTGATTAACATTAGATCATCTAGATACTGACTGATTTTAATAGAGAAAGTTGAAAAAATATTTTCTGGAGAAAACAAAATTTCTGGCAAAAAATATCTTCCAAAATTATTTCCTCAAATTCTTTGTCTCCGATAAAAAAAAGCCAAAAATCCCCATCCCCCGATGTTTCAAGAATTCGTAAATAAGTCCCACGAAAAACCTTTTTTGCCATTTTCCCCTAGAATCCCTCATCCCTGAGATAATTCCCAAATTGCCAGAAGAAGTCAGATCCATTTCATTCGAGCATTTTCGAAAGAGTCTGATTAACATTAGATCATCTAGATACTGACTGATTTTAATAGAGAAAGTTGAAAAAATATTTTCTGGAGAAAACAAAATTTCTGGCAAAAAATATCTTCCAAAATTATTTCCTCAAATCCTTTGTCTTCGATAAAAAAAAGCCAAAAATCCCCATCTCCCGATGTTTCAAGAATTCGTAAATAAGTCCCACGAAAAACCTTTTTTGCCATTTTCCCCTAGAATCCCTCATCCCTGAGATAATTCCCAAATTGCCAGAAGAAGTCAGATCCATTTCATTCGAGCATTTTCGAAAGAGTCTGATTAACATTAGATCATCTAGATACTGACTGATTTTAATAGAGAAAGTTGAAAAAATATTTTCTGGAGAAAACAAAATTTCTGGCAAAAAATATCTTCCAAAATTATTTCCTCAAATCCTTTGTCTCCGATAAAAAAAAGCCAAAAATCCCCATCCCCCGATGTTTCAAGAATTCGTAAATAAGTCCCACGAAAAACCTTTTTCGCCATTTTCCCCTAGAATCCCTCATCCCTGAGATAATTCCCAAATTGCCAGAAGAAGTCAGATCCATTTCATTTAAGAATTTTCAAAAGAGCCAAAACATTGAATCATCTCGATACCGAACAAATTTTTTAGTAGCTTTTTAATAGATTTTAGAGATTTTAAATTGAAAAAGTTGAAAGATATTTTCTGAATAAAACAAAATTTAAAAAAAAACAGAAAATATCTTCAAAATTGATTTCCTGAGTCTTGGCCCCGATAAAAAAAATCGAAAATCCTCATCCCCCTCTCCCTTCCCTCGACCGCCTAATTAATCACTCAAAAGGAATCATCCCCACCATCGAATCCTCCCTCTCTCTAAAAAACAACAGAATTACTCATTCTAATGACGACAAAACACCCGAACAACTTGACAACAACAATCTCCTCCCAACATTTCCCTGAAATTCCTCCCTCTCCGTCCCTGCTCCCCCCCAACAATACTCCAAATATCGTGGACCCCTAGAGCCCCCCAAAAAACAATGATGAAACCCCCGAAATCACTCACATATTCGATATCGGATGATCCGCAAGCGTCTCCTTCTCGCAGTACATGTCCCCTCGCCAGGAACCGCGTTGAAACCTCTCTTCACTCCTCCAGAATCATCACCACAGGCGACCACTTCGCCTACATAATTAAAACCCCAATTAATTTTTCCAATTAACCACTTGATAACCCGTCACTTGCAACGCAACTGGAGTTGATAACCATTACAACCGAACAGGAACTGAGGAGAGCAGGCCAATGACGCAAGGATCGAACGTTTATTGTCTCGATTGTTTTCGTCCACGGGAATATCGATATTCGGGAGCCAATGGGCGGCCTGGAGCGCCTGACAGTCCGCTCTGAATTTAGAGATGCAAAATAACCGTCATTTTTAGATCGCGTCATATGACCAAAAATGACGGTCATGTGACGGTCAGTGACGCTGAAATTTTCCAACTACAAATGATTGTCACAAATCATTTGTAGCCAAATTGTTGTCAAACCATCTATATAGTTGCTTAATGACGGTCATAACTAATTTCCAATTTGTGACGGTCATGAATAAAATAAAATAGTTTCATCTATATGGATGGAAAAAAAACGTGATTTCCATTTCAAAATGCGGATTAGGCCGATACAAAAGGAATTCAACTGAAAATTGACCGAGAAAAAAATAAAGTTTCATCTATATAGATGAAAAATGACCGTCATTTTTTCTTGACAAGTTGCGGCGGTCACGGAAGGGGGAGGGGGAATTGTGACAGCCGTCATATGACAGGTCATGTGACCATCATATGACGGGTCATGTGACCGTCATATGACAGGTCATGTGACCGTCATATGACGGGTCATGTGACCGTCATATGACAGGTCATGTGACCGTTATATGACGGGTCATGTGACGCATTTGCATCTCTATCTCTGATTGGTGGAGGAGTCGTTGGAAACGCACCTGACGAGGTGTTGTGGATAACTGCATGGGGGCTGGATTTTATGGCGGTTTTTACTAGGGATGCGCGATATTTTAAAAAACATCGATTATCGAAGAATTGATGTTTTTCAAAAACATCGATGTTGTGAAACGATTCATCAGGAAAAAACATCGATTATCGAAGAATTGATGTTTTTCAAAAACATCGATGTTGTGAAACGATTCATCAGGAAAAAACATCGATTATTTAAAAAATCGATGGGTTTCTCATTACACAGGGGAAACAACAATTTTTTTTAATAATTTTTTTTTCTTCTCGAGGGACTTACGTTTCAATGATCAGTACTGCTGGAGAATTAAATTTTGAATCTCGAAACAGGGTTTTTGATTAATTGAAGAAAATATATTGAATATTTTCCGTTAGCTGCAATAATTGTTAAAAATTGATTTTTTTTTTTCATTTAAAAAACCAATAAACGACTGGACTTGTTCACTAATCATTTATAACACACATACTGTAGAAAATAATTACTTCTAATTGCGGATAAATTATTATTTTGTTTATTCTCAATCAATCGACATTATTCTTCGACACAAAAATGAAAAATTTTGTTAGCTTTGTCAGAATTTGAAACATCGATGCTTGGAAAAAAGAATCGAAAATCGATTAATCGGCCGTTCAAAACATCGAATGAAAAACGTCGATGTTTGGGCATGAAAAATCGATGTTTTCGATTAATCGACAAATTTTGTTTATTCTTAATCAATCAACATTATTTTTCGACAAAAAAATGAAAAATTTTGTTAGCTTTGTCAGAATTTGAAACATCGATGCTTGGAAAAAAGAATCGAAAATCGATTAATCGGCCGTTCTCAAAATCGAATGAAAAACGTCGATGTTTGGGCATGAAAAATCGATCAATGTTTTCGATTAATGAACACAACATCGCCCATTCCTAGTTTTTACATAATTCTCGATCGTCTTGGACTTGATAAGTTTGTCGGAGGGATTTCAGGGGAACATGGCTTACTTGACGAGGTGTCAGGTGTTCAGGGGACTTCCAGCCATCTCCAGTGAGTTTTCAGGGGTTTTTTCACTGCGCGAAAATGCCGGGAGGGCGATGTTTATGCTGGGGTGGCGATTTTGAGGTTTGTGGGGTTTTGAGGGATGAAAACACGTTTTAAAATTTTTTTTGTGAGGAGAATCGACGGGTGACAACAATTGAATGATTTTTTTAGTTGAAGTTAGTGAATATTAAATGCCATACCCATAAATTTCCATTATTTTTCGTGCAGAAATCATTAATGCAAGCAATTCAGGGGCTCTCGTGGGCCAAAGGAGCCTCCAAAATGTTGTGAAGAGCTACTCATCACTCGTTAGTAATGTGAGAAAATCTGGAGTCACAGCTCTGAGGCCTTTCAATCAAAATTCTCAGAAGGTATTTTTTAAACACTTAAATTAAGCCCTTACACCTGAATGTATTAAATTTGACCCTGTACTTGGCTTTCTGCTATTAGATCGATATGCAATAAATAAATAGGGGTGGGTGGGGTAAAATGGACACTTTACTTTATTTAAAAAATTCATAACTCATCAGAATATTTATCAATTGAGCTCAGTCTAGGCTCATCACAAGGGGGAAGAATTACCCTTTTTATTGAAAAAAAGAAATGATACAATTTCATTAACAATTCAATAAGTCATTAGCATTTGAAAAAAAGTGAAGTGTCCATTTTACCCAATCGTCCCCTGAATAAACATCAACAGAGAAAATTATAATTGGCCCAGGATAAAAATCAAATTGATAAAAACTTGATTTTTCTGAATAAAACAATCACGAAAAACAAGAAATTTTCAAAATTCAAATAATTTTTTTCATTCTCCGGATTGAAAAGTTCAAAAACCCCAGATATTGTGAATTTTTTAGATCGGGCAGGCTCTGGTACCTTTTGCTAATCAACTGAGAGCCTCGAGCACTGGAGATCATGTGAAATTATGGCAGATGGAGAGAGTTGTGGCTGCTGCCTTCATTGTTCTGCTCCCTGGGGTGCTACTGGTCCAGAATGTCATCCTCGATGGGGCCTTCGCTGCTCTGTTGGTCATGCATGCCCATTGGTGAGTGTGGAGATGCCAGGAATGAACACAACTGGGATTTAGTGCCCAAAAAATTGATGTTTTCGAGAAAATCGAGGGGTTTGGTGACAATGATTGGGGGAATTTTTATATATTCTCAATCAATCAATGATTTATTAACAATCAATAAATATTCTGCATTTTATTGTACAGATAATGAGAGTAGAGACTGAAAAACTCAATTATTTCAACAATTTAGTGATGACAACAAATTTTAAAGTCCTTTTTTGTCATTTTTAATAAGAAAAATATGCAAATAAATAGTTCAATGCAGTAAGCGAATGCTTCTCCCAGTGGTATTCAATAATTACAATAGCAGCTTTTTTCAATGATGAGTGGTGAATCAATCGGTGAAGCAGGGGTAGAGAGCCGAAAATGATGGCTTAAAAAAATTATAAAAATTCGTTAGCTCAAGAATTCTGTAAATATCTCCTAAAATCTCTGTGAAATTTCGCAGAAAAAAAAAAATTTTTGAGGATTTTTGGGGATTTCATAAAATTCCAAAAAAATTATTCAGAATCCTTGAAACTTTGGAATTATGAAATCCAATGTGCAATTTTTTTCGAGTCATAGCGATGAACTATTTCTAGAAATAGTTCTAGTAGGTCTCAAGACCTGTGCAAGATAATCTGTTCTCTACCTCTCCTCCACCCAAACAACTTTTCATCTTTTCAATTCTCAGGGGCCTCGAGGCAATTATTTTGGACTATGCAAGGCCAGCAGTGGTGGGCCCAGTTCTCCCAAAGATACTATTCGCTGCTCTCTACGCAATGTCAGTAGTGACACTGGCTGGACTCCTGGCATTGGCCTACAACGGGCCTGGAGTTGGTGGTGCAGTTAAAAAATTCTGGGCAATTGGGAATAAGTAATTGAACATTAATTGACAAAAAAATTGTCCCCGCGATTTACTTAAGATTAATATAATCTAATGTATAAATTTTCTTCGTGATTTTTCGAATTAATTAGAAAAATAAAACTAAATTAAAAAGAAAGATAAATATTTGTCCCCTTTTTTTACTAGATCGATTAAAAAATAACATTTGTGTTTGTATATTTTTTTGTTCTGCTCTGCCTTCTTTCACTTTCGTCATTTGCTAGTCGTCATGTCAAGCATGTCTCCAAGGGGAACAGTCCCTACAGGGAATTTTTGTTTTTGTTACAGTTGAATGTGAATTATTAATCATTGAAGTTGTTCAATATGACTGAATTAAAAAAAATCTTTTGGAAATAATTCCCATTTTTCTTTTGTATTATTTACTAATATTATTTACAAAAAATTCAGTTCACTGAAGGGCTTGGACCCCTTGGAGGTCCTCGATAAATTAAAAAATTAGAATAAACTATACAGTTTAATGTCATTCTAGCGTAATTGTTCATTAGCTACAATTGAAATATCTCGTCCTGCTGCTGCTGGAGCTTCTGGAGGGATGTTTTCAATTTCTTTCCGTGTGTCATGACAACGGCTGATGGAAGATCGTGTACGTCGTCCTCGGACGATGATCTCATGTGGTGGTTCATCGATGAACCTGTCGAGGTTATTGGAGGGGTTGAGTGGGTTAAACTGTGACGTAAACTCCGGGTTCCCGGTCTTCGTTGCACGAACATTTCGTCGTCAGACATAAAGCTGGAAAGAATAACAAAATTAATGTTATGTGAGAGGATGAATCGACGAGACATTTGTTATTGCTCTTGAATAGAACAGGATACAATTTTTTTGTTAATTAATTTAATTTAATTAACATTACTTCATATTTTATGGTAGTAATCAATAACATTGTAATTACTGTTGGGAATGATTGATATTTATTTATGTATTTATGTTAATTTATGTTGTCTCTATTTATTTATATTTTTTAAATAATTTTTCAAAATCGTATTTTCAGTCAATTCTGATTCAAGTCCCAGCTTTGCAAAAATAAACTCTTGATAAATTTTCAGGAAATTTTGTTATTTTTCTTTGATCACTCTAATTATTCATTTTTTTTATTTTATCAATTTCAATTTTTTTGTTTAAAAAATCTAAAAAATGGCTTTTACATAAAAAAATTATCAATTATTCCCTTTAAAAATGTAAGAAAATGCCACATGAATTTGAATAACTGGAAAACAAAGATTGGATTATAAAAATGTGTCGACTCACTCAAAATTTTAGTTTCTGTCAGTTCGAATTACGATTGCAATCATCTTTCTACGTAACCCCTTATCAGTCAATCACTCAATCCTTATCATAGTGTCGATAAACCCTCAGGAATTCGGTCTAGAACCTTCCAAAACTGATTTTGTTTTCCCTGACTCACTCTAATGATCGATATTCCACTATCAAATTATCAGGATAACGAAGAGTCCCACGAGAAATTCTCAAAAGATCTTTTTTGTAGAAAATTTCGTTATTTATAAGGAAGGGTTGACATTATTTAATTGGCAGATTCAAAATTTGAGTATTTAATTCGACTCGTTTCACAGGTTCATGTGATAATTAATTCCTCCAACTCTCCTCGACAAACTGCATTGCTCGTAACAAAATTAGCATGACAAATCGAGTTGAATCCCCACAATGCCATATTGAATAATTCAGGGGGAATAATAAACCCGATAGAGCAGGGCAAAATGGGTTGTTTCACTCTTTAATAACCCGGGAATGGCTGAGTGAAATTCAATAAATTTTAGGTCATTTTCAAGCTATTTTTTAGTTTTAGATATAAGATAAAGTTCAGGACATTCATATTGTTTGTTTAAAAGACATGGAAGATTTAAAGAGAAAGTGGGAAAACGTAAAGAATTGAAATTAACACTTTTATTGAAGAATTTCATATTTACCCCGAAAACTAGTTTTTTTAGAGAAAAACATCGAGACCAAATTTCCTTTAAAAAATGTTTCTAGTCATTTAGAAGAATTCTCAATTCTCTAACAAGTTGAATTGTTTGAGGGAAATTTCGTCAGCCACGAAAAATGCCCTTGAATTAGACTTTTTTAATCTCAAATTTTCTTGTTTAATGGGATAGCATTTTGATAGTGTGTGAGTTAAGGTAATTTGAAGACATTCCTAGGAAAAATTTCGTATTATTTCGTATTAAATAATTTCGGAATATTAAAAGATCTCTTGACATTTTCTTCTGCTGACAATTGTTTACAAGATAAATCGAGAATCGTTGAATTGAGATTTTCTACGTTTTTCCCCTGCCCTTTAGCCAAAAAAAAAAATTGTTTCTCCACTGTAAGCAACCCCTTACTTACGAACTCTGTCCCTGGACCTTCTGAATTTCCCTCTTGACACTAGCAATAGACGAGTCCATTTTAGCTAAAAAATTATCCACAGAACTATCATCACTGCTTGTCGATGCCACATGCGTTGCACTAGGTACATCACAATCACCCCTCGAGTTCTCCCTAACAATTCCCTCGTTAAATTGTTGCGTATTAGAGTCCTTGGGGACAGGTACTAGTAAATATTCACGTAAAAATAGACTGTCAGACGCCCACAATCGATTAACCCTCCTAATTTGTTCAGTCTGAAACAAAAAAATTAGCACCTCGTGACTCCTTGAAAAACACGTCTCCTTCAATCCTCAATATCTCGTGAACCAACGATCAGAATAACTCGACTCAGCGCTCATTTTAAACCTCAAAAAAATACCTTGAAAATGAAATTAAAATATTGAGAATTCACTCTGCCAATCTCGAGATATCGACGGTTAACAAATGACAATAGACTCTGTCCTCAAAACATTCTGCGATGATAATTTTCAATTATTCATTAATTACTCACCGTAACTCCGTACTTCAGGGCAATACCAGCTAGTGTATCACTTTTACATACAAAATGTTTAACGAGATTTTCATTTCTTATCAAATGTTTTGAAGTACTTCCGTATTTCTTCAATTTTCTACTTGTGTCACGAATTGAAAGGCGTTCTTCCATCTCTCTGCACAAATCCTGATCCATTATTTTATTGCGAATAGTTTCAATGTATTTATGATCTACGTCGATATACATATAATTAGTGTCACCATTGATTAATTGAATCAGTTGTCACTTCTGTGGCCGACAAATCAAGTGATAATGGGGAAATAAAGAAAAAAAACCGTCGAGCGGTAGTTTATTTATGGATAACTCAGGATACTATTGAATCGTGCCAGGGGGTGACAAATTAATGCTTTGGAGGTGGGGGAATTCTCATGCAGCGATTTTGTGAAAGGATTTTCCGTTGGAGCTGGCGAATTCGGCCAATCGGAGGGGCTTGTGGGGGAAAGAGGGCACGTGACGTCACATGAGTCCTTATCGTCCTGATGACTCATTTTTGAATTGAGGAGGCATTGTTACTGACAGCAATTCTGGCGAAAGAGGAGTACCGAAGGGGATTTGTTGTCTTTTTTTTATTGCAGAGATGATTTTAGAGATTTTGAGAAGAAGAAGAGAGATAGCGAGATTTTCGTTATGACCTTTTTTGTGGAGAATTTCAAGAGCTACAAAACAGGTTCTTATAAAAACTTTGCTATCTGCTTTAGATTTCGAGATATTCCTTAAAAACTGAAGGGCAAAGCAATTACTGAAATGGGAGAAAACTTTACGCCATGAATTCTCAGCAGAAAAGGGATGGAAAAACCTGAAGGACAGCTTGACAAATTTTCTCCGCCTCCAGGAACTTTATGAAACGAGTTGAAGGTGATTTAACGAGGATAAATCATTTTGAGAGGTGTTTAAAAATATGAGGTGGAGGCACCGCCATCTTTGAATTACTCATTACTCACTTTTGAATCAAATGGGTAGTATTAGTGATAGTAATTGTTGCAAAAGAGGATTCCTCAAGGGGATTTTTTGTTTTTCTTTATTGCACAGATGGTTTTCGAAATTTTTATGAATTTCGGAAATTGGTTTTTGGAAATATTGAGAAGAGTAAGAGAGATAGCGCGATTATCATAGGGACCTTTTTTGTAGCTCTGGAAATTCTTAACAAAAAAGGTTCCCATAAAAATTTCGTTATCTGCTTTAGGTCTCGAGATATTCCTCGGAAACTGAAAAAAACTTCATCGAAATACTCATTTTTTTAATTTTTCAAAAAGAAAAATTTAAAAAAAAATGAAAACCCATCAATAACTATTTTCCACTTCTTAACAAACAATTTTCATGCATGTTTTCATCAGAAAAATGAGAGTAATTCATGAGAATTCACTGCAATGTTCATTCGAGAAAAAATTCTCCACCAAAAAAACGAAAAAACAGGACAACCCATTGATTTCTATTTTATAAAAATAATATATTTCAACAAGGAATTGTACACAAAAAATATTACATGGTTTATTTGACGCATTTTTTTATGAATGCCGTTCGATACAATTGTCTCCTCCCAAAACCATCATCGAGCATTCTTAAAACTTGAAAAAAAATCCCTTCACGAGCACTTTCCATTCATTTCTGAACTGAAACCCTCAGGCAACGAATTAATCAACAAATTAGTTTCCTTTATTGTACGTCAAAAAAACGTCAATTTTCGTATTTTTATGAAAGAAAAAGTGAATTCTTGTCTCGTGACCTCAACATATTCATTTCCACTTGTCTTAAAAGTTGTTTAATGCACGCTATAGATTCAATGCGATAAGGCCACTTTTCTAGATGATATTACATACGTGAGTTAAACCGTTTATCTATCATTTTTAAAATCTAAATGTCACTTACAGTATTATAAAATTAAAAATTCATGTCGTCTTTATACAGAGTTAAATCAAGATGTGTTTTCATGTTTTATACATAAAAATTAATCACCTATGATTATGGCAAAAATCAGAATAGTGATAATGATTTTTAGTTGTTTGAGTGTCTTTTTGCGCTTGAAAAATTGGAATTTCAGGGGAAAAAATTGTCACACAAATTGGTGATTGCACATAACAAACGATTTACATGCTAATGAATTAATTCGTTATTTAACAGTTAATTTGATTTTTCCTGTGGGAAAAAGCTGACCGAGTGGTGCAGAGAGGAAGTGGTGACATGTAAATTTTTCAGGCAAATGCCCTTCGACATTTTTTTATGGGATAAATAAACTTTTTATGAAGAGAAATCTCATTTATGAAAACAATTTTCATCTGACATTCTTATTAATTGTTCATTTATCTCGTAAACTTGTGGATTTAGAGCAAAATATCAGAAAATACTTTTTGCAGAGGAGAAAATTTCCAACAACAAATATCTTATCACTTTTTTTCATAAAACAATTCAATCATAAGATAATCAAACTTTTTATGCGGAAAAATATAGTTTATGAAAAAAATTTTCATCTGACATTTTTGTCAATTGTTCATTTATCTCGTAAACTAGTGGATGTAGCGCAAAATGTCAAGAGATACTTTTTGCAGGGCACCAAATTTCCAACAAAAAATATTTTGCGACACTTTTTCGTAAACCCACGCATTACCGATATAAATTCGTATTTAAGAGGTAAAAAATCTACTTGCTCCATTCCCAACATATCACCACTTCCTCTGACCCTTATTAATTTTATTTGTTACCTTACAGCACTCGTCGTGCATACAATACATACAGTATCATACAGAATAATCACTCCCCTAACTCGCGAGTGTCTTCTCATAATGACTTAATGTTTTCCATTACAATGATAAAAAACGTAGAAAAAATTACATTTAACGAAAATTACGCTTAAACTCCTCGACTTCTATTCATAAACTTCACAATAATCCTTGGATATGTGAAGTATCTCGTGACTTTGATCGTGGAGATCACATTAAAACTATTTTACAGTTCAGTTTTTCTCCTTGAGTTATAAAAAACGATCGTGAACAGTAAAAAAAAGCCTCGAGACTTCATTCTCGACTAATTAAAGCCCAAAGAACCGAATGATTTTTATGAATTTCCTCACACCTGGATTCACCAATCAACCAATAAAAAAATTGTTTCGTTTAAATTTAGAAATATACTATTAAGAATCCAACTTGAGTTCAACGAGACTCGTATTTTCTATTTTTATCACAATCATTCATTTGTTACAAACTGAGCAAATAATTTTTTTCTCTCATTTTTTTTGCTTTCAAAGTGTAAAAAACGAATAATACAGGAAAAAAAATTATCAATAAACAAAACTGTATCACAATGCGTTATGCTGTGAGGACATTGTTCATTTCTTTCATGAGGGTAAAGTAATAAACGAGGTAGAAACGATTAATGTCTAGTTCATGGAAAGAACGAATGAACATTTATGATTCACAATTTTTTAAAACCTAATGTGCAGTGCTTTTCAATGATAAACAATGACTCTGCATCAGCGATTCTTCAATCGTCTGGGAATCTAGCTCTACAATTAATCAATAGATGATGATTAACAGAATGATTTTTTCAACTTAAAGAGGATATGAAAAACAACGAGTAAAAAGGCTGAGGATTAACTAACGAAATGTTGTCTTTTAGATTGAAAAATTGTCGTTGATGTCAGGAGATGCTCAGTACGAGTCTCGTAAGTACAATATTTTTTGGGTTTTTTTTTGGGAATGGGAGGAGTGTTTTTCGGCGGAGGTGAGACGAGTTCAGTAGAGAAGTGGGGGTTTTTGAGATTTTCGCCTTTTATATCGTGGAAATGGGGATTACAGCTCCAACTGAAAGTGTCTGGTGAAATTTTTGGATGAAATTACTCATTGGGGAGTTGATTCGGTATTTGAGACGTGGAAAATTGACCTTTTGGAGTGGAATGCTTGACATTTTTGTTGAATTTTGGTGTAAAAGTTGAGAGATAAGCTTTTCCATTCATCTGACATTTTTATTAATTGTTCATTTACCTCGTAAATCAGTGGATTTAGCCAGAAATGTCAAAAGACACTTTTCCCAGAGGCCGAAATTCCCAACAAAAAATGTTATTTGACATTCTTCCATCAAATAATTCCTTTACGAGACAATTCAACTTTTTAAACAGGAAAACATCTCTCATGCATCAAAAATTCACCTGACATTATCATCACTCGTCCAATTATCTCGTAAACAAGTGAATTTCCCCAAAAATGTCAAAAGACACTTTTCCCGGAGGCCGAAATTCCCAACAAAAAATGTTATTTGACATTCTTCCATAAAATAATTCCTTCACAAGATAATTCAACCTTTTAAACAGGAAAACATCTCTCATGCATCAAAAATTCACCTGACATTATCATCACTCGTCCAATTATCTCGTAAACCAGTGAATTTCCCCAAAAATGTCAAAAGACATCATCTGACATTTACCTACGAAACAATTCCCCTGAGATAATTCACCGTTTCACCCAGAAAAATATTACGCAGCCCAAATTCCCTCTGCGATTGTTGTTCCCCAAGCCCAAATTTTCTACTATCGTCTCACCCCCCCTCCCCTTTCCCCAGAACCCCCCACAAAAAAATAACAACAAACGTACCCTAAACCCACCTCTCCACGGCCCTCCCTATATACACTCGTCCCCCCTCATCACCTCACATGCCAGAGTCCCAGATTCAACGTAGTGATGTGCGGCATCTTCATGATGACCTCCAGTCCACTGGTCGTAATTTTCGTGCAGCCATAGAGATCGATGCACTTGAGTTGTCCCATGCTCTCCCCAATGGTAAACAGCGCCTTATCAGTGAGCCTGCTGCACTGTCCAACATTGAGAGTCTCCAGCTCATGAAGAGTCTTGGCAATTTTGCAAATCCCCTCGTCATTGACCTGGCAAGCACTCAAGGACAAACTCTTGAGATTGAAAAGACCCTGAGAAATATAAACGAGAGCAAGATCTCCAATTTTATCGCAGAATGACACATCCAGCGATGATATTCTGCTGCCGCCCTCAGCAAGATAGGCCATTCCCACATCAGATATGTTGTCGCAGGACCTGAGGTTCACCTCCCTCAAGCTAGACATCTTGGCGAGATGCTTGAGGCCAGCGTCAGTGATGGAAACGCAGAAAGAGAGATTGGTGGACTTGAGACAAGTCAGCCCAACCGAAATGTGCCTGAGAGCCTCATCAGACACCCTCTGGCAGTCCTGCAGTCCCAGATGCTCCAGGGCAAGATTCCCAGCAGCAGTTTCCCTGCTCATCCCAGCAAGATGGCCAATGCCAGCGTCAGATATGTGCCAGCAGCTCCTCAAGTCCAGTCTCTTGAGTTTCTTCAGGCCCCAGGCAATCAGCAACAGCCCAGTATTCGTGATATTGCAGCAGCCCCCCAGCTCCAGTGACTCAAGATTCTTCAAGTACTGAGCGATTCTCCCGAGTGAGTTATCAGTGACCTGTTTGCAGAGCGACAGATTGAGCTCCGTCAGGGAGGAGTACTCGGTGCAGATGGCGCTCGTCAGTCCAGTGTCTGTGATGTTGTAGCAGCCGGAGAGATTCAGTGACTCCAGGTTCGTTATTCCCTTGACGACGTCCCCCAGACCCCGCCTCAGGGACAGTATCTGCACCCTCTTGACACCTCGTCTCACCAGACTGGCGAAAACTGCTGGCGCCTGCTTCCTCAGGTGCAGACGCGCCTCGATACCACGCCACACTGATCTGTGGTATGCTGCGTCCCTCCAGGACACGCACACCTGGGCAGCCCTGCCCTTGTCTCTGACGCATAAATAACTGAATATGTGGGCGAGGATCTCGGGGTAGAGGCTCGATATGTGCGTGCTCGTTGTCACGTTCTCGATTGTTCGCAGGTCTGACAAGTGACGTGCTATACCGTAATTACTGCAGTGCTTTTTCGAGGCTGGGGGATAGTGGGGCACAGGTGTCTCGATTATCGTGCTTGGGGGGTTAACACCCAGCGCCAGGTGCGGCTGGTGCAGATGGTAGTAGTGGCCGGACCTGTGGAGGAGGCCTCCTGGCACTGGCAATGGCAGCTCCGTCATCAGGAGGTGATCCTCCATTTTTTTTATTTGTTCTTTTGATTTTCTTTACCTTTTGACGATCACTCGATCAAACTCTGGCTCGATGGTGGACCTCGGGCGTTATTTCAGGCGGAGGGAATTGTTGTACTCCATTTTGGCGAGGTTTTGCGGTGGGCACTTCACGCACGAAACACTGGGGCTGGGATTTTTTTTTTTTTGTGGGTTTGAGGTCCTTTTCGGGGAATGGGGTCTAGGGGTTTAGCAGCACTTTGGGCATCACTCGGGGGTGGGAGGGGTCTGGTCAGGGTGCAGGAGTTTGGGGGATCGATGGGGGTTTGGGGGTCTGAGTTTTTGGGGGCTTTTGGCTTTGGGGGTGGGTGGCTTCTGGGTTGGGGAGCACTCGCGGGAGAGATGAGAGTCTTTTTTTTGGCGAGATAACACAATTGGCAGGAAGTGGACTGGCGCGCTTACTGGTGCAGACTGTGGCGCGGGCAGCGCTGAGGGGGCAGGGGGGTTGTAGACGGGAATGTGTGTGCGGTTTTTTCGTGAGGGGATTCGGTGCGTGGGAGCGTCGGGAAGTTGGTTTGGGGATTGACCAATGGGAGTGAGGATTTGGGAGGGGGGGTCCGTGGGATTGGTGGATGGGGTTCTAGGGGAATTGATTGGC